TTGTCTGCGGATCAAAGAATAAATTGTAAATTAAATTTAAGTTTATAACATTACAGCGTAATTAAGAATCTATTACTTTCTGATTGTATATGTAGATGTCAGATAGAAACAGCTGTCATACAGTAATAAATAACTGAAAATCTGAACATTTTTTGTTCTAGTTTAATTGTGTTAAATTGATTTTCATCAAGAACCAGCCACATCGGCCGTCGGCAGGCAACTTTTATAATTGCGGGCAAAAGCCAGCACGATGAAGATTGAGACAGACTATATAGAGTAGAGCCGGTTTTGGTTAGTTTTGGTACTTATCTAACAACAAATAACGTTTAATGTAACGGATAATCCAATGTCCTACGGTGGGAACACTTTGAGGGCAACTAACCAAAACGTTAAATGCGACAAAGTTTATTTTTTGAGGGGTTTAGAAAATTTGGGCTTCGAATTGTTGGGAAAAAGCGCCGACTTTATAGATGTTTGTTTGGGATACGTATTGAAAAAGTTGGTTAGGAAGATGTTCTAATCTGTATATGCTTCGACGGTTTTCCTTTGTTTTGTACGCAACGCGGATCCTATGGTTCGCTTAAAAGATGACTCTTGAAAATGATCGAGAAAAATGTCCCTAACGCGTGTTTCCGCTCGAACAGTGGAACAGACTTTGTAGTCTAAAAGTTGTATGTTCGTACCTTCTTGTGTCACACGGGTATTAGCTACATTATTGCAAGCGTGATACATGCAAAGAATATAGGATAGAGAGGAAGGTCGCGTATACTATTACGAATGCCATCTAATATTTGTGTCCAAGTACAAAAGTACTGTCATGGCGGTTTAAAGTAATGCGTCACACTGAAAATACTAGCTTGTAACGGATAACAGCACTTTAAATTATTTAGACTTTTTTTTTTCAAATTTTATCTTTCAAATTTTAAATTGAATTAAACCGTACGTTCCGCGCGTTTTCCGTTGACATGACTGGCCACAACACTGGAGGCGTTGAAACTCGTGTACCCTTTTTAACATTGCTACTAACGGGAGCCTTCCCCTCTATCTTATACTCTTGGGATACATGTTCCGATTAGAAGGCGACGGGAAATCTCGGGAAAAACAATTCAAAAATTTATGGTGATCGTGCGTCTTTAATATTCAAGAAGCCGCCATTGCGTTAAAACAAGCGCTGGGCGTGTTTGTTTGTTCGGGGAGGCCATTATAACGAGCGATAAATTGCGAGAAATTTACATTTAATTGTCGACTTTTTTCCCAATAGGAACGCCCGTGCCCGCCATTTTTTTCTCATTTGCAATTCGTTTCGCGACTTTTATGCAAATCATAGCCGAGTTTCGTATGCTATACAGGGTGTTTCGAAACAAATGGGAAAAACGTGAAAGGGCCTTACCTTAAAATAAAGGGTAGTTTGTAATATAAATATTCGTAACTACTTTTTAAAAAATGTTATGCAACGACATAAAAAAGTACATATTTTTAAATTTAATTTTTTAAATAAATTTTGAATTTAAAAAATAATATTAAATAAATTTTTAAATAAAATAAAATAAAAATTAAAAAAAATAACGCAAAAATTAAATGTTTTAATCTTAACTAAGTAAAATACACTTTCCTAGTTTCAGGCTTTCCAAGCCCGCAGTTTTCAGGAGTTTTGGTTACAGTTTGTATATAAGGGAAGAAAAGGTTCCAACTGAATTTTCAGCGACGAATAAATAATAAGATCAAGATCTTTTAAGCCCCATATATAAAATATATAAAACTAACATTCATCTAACTGCCTAATTTATATTTATATTACGGTGTTATGTTTTTTTCTGTTTCTCCTTTTTTTTGTTCCTTCTCCTTTCTTGAATATATGTCGCGTTTCAGAGAGCATTTTATATTCTATATCTTTATTATGATTTTTATTACGTGCTGTCTTGCAATTGGTGTGAACTGTTGGGCAATAAAATCCATCAGTACTTTCACAAACCGGATGAAATCGAGTTTTTCGAAAGTATCGAAAAAAAATTATTTTTTGTATGTCCATCCTCCGTTCTCCGTTTTCGTCTCTTAGTACTTAAAAAAAATCGCGTTTCCAATGGTCTAAGAGAGAACCATCCGGTCCGGTATTCGCAAAAACTGAAAATTAGGTGATTCAATTGTCAATTTGTTTTATACGACGACATAGCCCGTACAGACAGCTAAAACTTGGATATTTAAGGTATTCAGTGTCCTAAATTTGCAGCTATTGACTTCAGATTTGGCAAGCAACCGAACACAATACTCGAACTTGAGTGCAAACAAATCGGGCAAAGTGTTTTTTTTATTTTTAAAAATTTTTGTTGCTGCCAGAAAAACAAAACCGAAACGCGGAAGATCCAGGGAACAAATTTTGTTTTAAGCATTTTTTAGATAATATACAGAGTATTTTAGTTATGGACAACAATCTAAAAAATCCTGCAAATTGTACTTTTCTGGAGTAAGTGGCTTCTTTAAAATACAAAGGCTTTGTTTGCTGCGCAGCGACGAGATTGCGGTAATCTTGTTGCTTTGGAAAGAATTTTCGAAAGCATACGGGCTTGGTATTTTTAAACATTTAGAGACCGCGTTTGTAGAGGTTCGACAAGAAAATCATTTCTCTGAAGCCGTATACACGATCAAAAATATTCTCGAACCAAAAGACCCACGAGATCGGAACCAAAAACTTTTATTCTTGATGATTTTTTTGCTTTTATAATCATAATTGAGCATAACTAGAAGGGTTTCACCTATTGTACAGGATGTTTTCGATATTCCGCGAAATATTAGAAAAAGCAATAGGTGAATTAAATTTGGAATTGCACGGTCTTCAAATTTGGTAGGCTATTAAAAGTCCACGCCCATATTGAAACCGTTAAAGTTGTGCGCAATCGAATGCCGCAAAGCATATTTTTTTTATTTTAAAAAAATTTTTTGGCTTCCAGACAAACATTTTTTTTTCGAAAACCATTAATCTCATCGGCAAAATTCTCTAATCGGCACTATAATTGTTATTTTAAAGAATACATTATCATCAAGTCAAAATGTGTAAAAAATGTAAGCTAAGTATTTACGGAATTTATTTATGGAAAGTAGTTATTTTTGGAGCTCAATTCAGACGCGCATGGTTTCAGAAAAAAAAATATTTTCCCGAAAACCGTTAATTCCATTCGAAAAATTCATGGACTAGGAGACGTGGGAGGTCCAGGGAAATAAACTTTGTTTCGGGTTTACATACAGGGTGTGTCGTTTATGGGCAAAAAATCTAAAAGATCCCGAAAATGTCCGTTTTTGCGGAAGTATTATTATTATTAGTATTATGATTATTATTATCTGTAGTAGTGGTAGTAAAATATTTGTGTATTTTCCACTATTCCTCCTCAAAGTCATCGCGAAAAGGTCAAACCGGCCAAGAATTTTGCAAATTAACGAGGGAACAACAATCTAAGGGAAAGTCGACGGTGTTTCGAAGACATTACCGATCATTACCACACCCGTGTCATTTTAAGACCCATAATTACATAATTTCATTAGCGGCCGGTATCTCGCGTCAATTAGCGGGGCTCGCGTTTCATCTCGCCAAAGGTACAATAAAACCTGTAGCTGATGTTCTCGTTAAACCGTAAGTCTTTCGCTGAACGCCTGGGAAAATATCACTTTCAAACAAACGTACCGTCCGTTTCGCGGATTTAAGACGCTCGTATTGCGAAACGGGTTTGAAGCTTTCGTAAAGGGAAACGGAATAAATTCAGCCCGGCTCGGGTCGTTTCGAACGTTCCCGCTTTTCACACTTACGAGCACGCTGTAAGTATAGTCCCGCACGCGATAAGTGATCAGGAATAGCAGTCGTGTGGGGAAGCTGCCATTGGAAGGACGAGCCATTCACGTCACGTTGACTACGGTTCGCTGGAAAGGAAGAGTGTTTGTCTTTGTCGCATCGTTTCGAACCCTCGTTACTAGTTGAAGGAATCAAATCGTATGATAACTCTTATACAACTTAAAACGTTAACATCTCGCTCTAATAGTATGAGCGTTTTTAATGGAATCACGTAGGACAGTATTGATACAATACTGTTGCGATACTCCTAATGTTGTTAAATGTAGGACGTATGAAGTCGGATGTTCGGATCTCAACCCTGTTGAACATCTTTGAAAGAATAACTTATTTATTCGATGTGACGAATACGACAAGCTTTGCAGTCGTTAAAAAGGGCTAAAAATGAGATGATTGTATAATTGCAAAAAAAATTTTTTTGAAAAAAAATTCAATCCGACGATATGAATTTGTTTACGTCGTTCGACAGCGAGATATAGATCCAACAACCCAGTGAAAATCGCATTTCAGGATGTGTATCCTATCCTAGAATATGAATAAAAGAGTTTAAAACCCAAAAAAGTAGATTTTGGTAATCAACTTCACTCTACGGACTGTTATCGAAATAAAAGTCGTTTATTTTAGTTTTTTATTTTTTTGCAACACCATTGATATTATTCCTATATTGTGATATCCTAATCTATTTTCAAATATTGGGTATTATCATTTTTTTAAAGAAAAAATTAGGTTTACTCATTCACCGATATTGTTAGACTAACATTTAAGTAGTAAGTGGAAAATCGTAAAAGAAATAAAGCATCTCCTTTGCCATTCATAATTATCGAGATTCTTTTTTTTTGCCACCGAATTCTATCATATCGAAACGGCTTGTTGTCATACAATAAGCCAAGGGAAATAAAAATAAATAGGCAAATTATTAATTTTGTTTAAAAAAAAGTTTCCTTTCTTCACATTAATTTAGGATTCTTCTTTTCTTAAAGCCGAAAATATTAGTGAACCATAAAATAATGTTTCAGATCGCGTCTTTTAGTACAAATATAAGTTGGAAAAAATTTGGTATCAAATAATGCAATAATATACAGGATTTCTTTTAGCCTTATCTATAACTTTTATTAAAACGAATAATAAACGAGATATATTACTTTACTAAGTTTCCTTGTCGCAGGGTCGTTTACGGGGTGCTTAACTTCGGCGTGGAGGTGTTCTGCGCCAGAATACCGGGTCTGACTAGTCGACAGAGAGAGATGTGCAGATCATCGCCGGACGCCATGGTGGCGGTCGGAGACGGCATCCGAATGGCGACCGATGAATGTAAATACCAATTCAGGCATCACAGGTGGAACTGCAGCGGAATTGAGAATCCCAGCTCCTTCGGACACGTAGTTATAGTCGGTACGTTATGCATCGCATTGTTATTTTTATTGTCAATGGAATAAAATAAAACAAAATGACTCATAATCTAAGACTACAAACGGTAATCCATAAAGGATGAAAACAGACTAACTCTTCCACCATTTAATCACAAGATATTTCCTCAACAATTTTTTAAAAGTTAAACATATGTCGGCGACCTTAGCTCGATATTTTCCAATATTTCGTTTTGGATGTTTGGAATGTTGATTTTTGGCTTGCATTATTTGTGGGTCTAACCTAAACCGTTATAATTCTGTTATTGGTAATACTGTGAACCCCAAGTCTGGACTTATAAAAGCACTGGTTAGGTCCGATTTTAAGTAGCTCCGATAGTTTATTTTTGATTGGCTATTTTGTAGTTGATCTGTTGATAATAATGAATTAAGTGATTAGATTATTCATTTGTTTTAAGCACTGTGCTGTTTGTATTTCTATTTTATTATTTCGTTATATTATTTTCATTATTTTTTACCATCTACGACACCAGAAGTGGGATCGGGACTTTTCGGTAACATTCGGACAGTGAAAGTGACTATAAGGACCGCGATTAGTGCAGTGCAGTTCGATGAATGAACCGCAAATTGTGGAAAAACTTAGCAGTCTTTGCAAAAACAGTCGATTTATGTTAGTCATGAGGAATATTTTGTCACTTGAAATTTTTGCTGATACTGTTCTAAGGGTGGCTAGGCAAACGATTGGCTATATTTCCCTCCGGCCGTCATACTGGATCGAAGCGTTGATCTTTGGCCTTTTGCCTTAAAAATTTTATGCACGCATAAGTGGTGGGCATAAGGCAGTTTGATGTTAAAATAGTTTAAAATACGGCAAGTTATTCCATGTTGCGCTCCAGAGTCATTTTTTATTTAGCACGGATTCAGATTGTTTGACCACTTTCAGGGCAGGTAGCTTTTCAATCTGTAATTAGCAAATTTTGGGTGTCGCTGAGATTCAGAAATCTTTATTGGCTATGGATGATCGATTTTATGACGACCGATATTATTTTAGAACAAAGATTCTGTCCTTTAATCGGGACTTAAATGTTAATTTTTGTAACATGGATACGGATTTACATGAAATTGTCCGTTAAAATTTAATTAATTTTTAGTTAAATTAGAAAATAATTGTCGTATCAGGTGTGCTAATTGTTACTGTAAATACGGGTAGCATGGAAATTTGCTTAAAAGAGACAACCGCACCCATTATTAGGGGCATTGGAAATTGGGCATTTTCGTAATTGAGGATTCACTTAAAGGCAATATAATAAAAACTCTTTGTTTATCTTCTTTTTTAATCCAAAGATTCTATTAAAGAAAAAGTATAGCACCGCACAAATTTTAAACCACTTCGCGTTATTCAAAATATCGAATTACAGAAAGACTGTTACTGCTCCAATAAATCGAAAAGAACTCGTTCCCAATTTAGCAAAAACATATGATTCCAAACAATACTTTTTCAGTAAAATGGAAAGAAATAATTCGTTATTTTACTTCATTAATGACATTCGGTATTTGAGAAAATTGAGTATGGGAAAGTGAGAAAACTCAGGTATACAATTTGCATTGGCATTTCCGGTAAATTATGTGGCCAAAGAATACGTCTCTGTAATAATCGATGCATTTATCAAATAGCTGTACTTTAATTAAAAAATCTTAGAATTTATTTGGTGCTCTTTCTTGTATCAGTTGTGTAAACGTTTTTCTAGCAGTGAATTGATGAAGTGATATTTTGTATCAAAATTCAGTCTTAAATTGCATTTTATTGCTCACTACTAAGGGCGAACGGACAAGTTTATTCTTTAGAATTACAAAAATTGTTACACCAATAATACTGTGTTGAAATCTCCTTCACCCTCTGAAAGTTGTAATGTAGCAAATAGAAATATCGATAAAATGACAAATGTGAAAATAAAAAAAATCCTTTTCAGTCGGCGGTTTCGTATATCATAAAACAATATTAATATTAATGCAGTTACAAAAAATGGCCGTTATCAAGTTATTATTATTATTAGGCTGTAAGTGCAAAAGTACGTTCTTCGAATTTGCTTATGACCAGCTTATTCATATGCCTGTTTACCCAGTAAGTTACTGGAGCTGTATTGTTGCCTGGTTGGTTTACGTGAAGGTAAATGGTGAGAACAGATGTGGCGTGTGTTGCCGGTGTGCATTGCTTTATTGGAGCGACTTGTGTCGCCAAAGGCAGACGAATATTCCAGTAAACAGTGTTTTACAGGATGATGTGATGAAACCGAAGAGCCATGTTCTAGATGGCTAATACTTTCATAGGTTTGCAAAAAGATATTACATTGCAAGTTGTAAGTAATTTGATTTTGGTTTCCTAGTAAAAATTTTTGTATAGCGGTTAATGATCATAATAACAATAACAGAGAAAAGATAACCGAGTATCCGAGGTCTAGATGACCGGTCCGGGATTATATTTTATTATATTATTTTGATTATTTCTTACGATCTCCGACATATATACAATACATAAAGAAGGCTCAAGTACGGGGTAATTGATAAGTTTTAAGATTCGACACGGAATTAAAGGCTCGACGTGGAAAAATATTGATTTCCGAGCGAAATAATATCGACCGCACCGTCCAGTTCGAGGGGATTATCATGTTATCTCATTTAATCTCCGACAGGCCATAAAATACGGTATTAACAAACATAAACAAGTCTTTTGCCAGCGGGAGGATGATCGTCATTCTTTAATGCGTTCGGACCTTGTCGACCACACAATTCAGTCATCTCGGTTCGAAAATATAGCCCTGGTCTGCGCGCTTTAAAATGCGCTCTTTGTTGACGGTTATTTACGTAGCCGTGAGCACCATGGACGCTGGAATGCGGGGGTGTGTGGATGGGGGGGTATGGGGCGAAGTCTAGCCTAAGCGCATTCAAACTTAACCCTGGTACACCAAACCGAAACCTACTCGTAGTTTATCTAGTGCCTAAACTTATAAATACAAAAATTAAGATGCAATAACTAAACTTGCGCGCATAGAATTCGGCCCACTGTAAATTTTTTACTTTAGTGTATTTTCTGTAGAAACTATTCATTTGACCCAAAAAATAAACATCCTGTTTGGAAGACAATTTAATATGCTTTAGTATTAGTTTAAATTTGTTATTTTTATTTATCGTATGACGTACATTGTGCTATGCTATTATATGTTCTCAGAGCATATAGATATTGATGTTACAATTTTATGTCTAAATTTTTAATATAATCAATCGCCTCTTCTGTTGCAGTCATAAAATCAGTGATAGGTCCTTGGTAGGCACGGTTTGGGCAATCTTTCACTATGTGAGTCACTGTTTGATTATTGGCCCCGCAGTCGCATTCTGGCGAGGTTATCCATCCCCATTTATGAAGAGCGTCAGCACATCTGCCATGGCCAGCACGTATTCGGTTCAATGTAGTCCACACTTTTCGAGGCAAGTCAGATCCAGCAACCTTCTCTGAAGTAAGGAAAGTTTGAAAGTGCGATGGGCATTGTTCCTGCCATCTTTGTTGCCAGGCGTTCGCTGCGTTGAAATTTGAGTCCAACAGCTCTTTAGCGGTGATTAGCGCTGGTTTCCTCGACTTCAGTCGTTTGCGCTCTAGATCGCCTATTTCATTGTGTATAGGTAGCTCTGTATTATTGTTTATTTTCTGATACTCCCTAACAAGGCTGTTTTTACGTCGAATTTCAGGTGGCAGTATGTGGCTCAGGAAAGGCAGCCAAGCAATTGGTGTGGACTTAATCGTGCCGCTGATTATGCGCATTGTGTCGTTCAGTACAGTGTCGATTCTCTCAGTGGCTGTTAATCCACACTGGTGCGCAGTATTCCGCCACAGAGTAGACAAGACCGACTGCCGATATACGGAGCGTGTCCGCTGAGGAGTCCCAGGTGGTACCACACAATTTATGAATGATGTTAGTCCTTGTTCTCATTTTGCTTGCGGTCTTTATCAGGTGTTCCTTGTAGGAGAGCGTCCTGTCCAGTGTGACTTCTAAGTATTTGGGGTGGTTGTTATGGTTGAGGCGTTTTCCTTCGAAGTTGATGGTAAGCTCTCTCTTCGCTGATTGGTTACAAAGGTGGAAGCATGACACCTCTGTTTTAGTGGGGTTGGGCAGCATTCTCCATTTGTGAAAGTAGTCGCTCATCAACCTTAAGTCGGAGCCAAGAGTCTTTTCAGTGGTCTCGAACTTCTCGTGTTGAGCGGCTAAAGCCCAGTCATCTGCGTATCCAAATTTTGTAGATTGTGTGTTTGGCATATCCGAAATGTAGAGGTTAAACAGAAGTGGGGCGAGAACTGAGCCCTGTGGCAGTCCATCGTTTAGTGTTCTTGTTCTGCTTGTCCTCTCTCCAATTACAACATTGAAAGTTCTCCCTGCGAGCATATTGTCGGTGAGACGAATGGCATGGCTGCATAGAATTTTTTGGATTAGCTTGTATAGCAGGCCGTGCAGTATCGTAAGCAGAGCTTAAATCTATAAAGGTAATCGATGTTTTCTGGCGTTTTTGGTAGCCTGCTTCTATGTGAGATGTTAGGGAAAGCACCTGGTCTGTGCAGCTTCTTCCTGGTCTGAAACCCGCTTGTTCGATTGGTATAGATTTTAGTATTTTTGGGCTCAGTCTGTTGTACAGGAGCCTCTCTAGTAGCTTGTATACAGTGCTGAGAAGCGCAACTGGCCTGTAACTCTTTGGTTGGTCGCTGGGTTTTCCTGGCTTCAGCAGTGCTATTATTCTTGAATTCTTCATTTTCTGTGGTATGTGGCCCGATTGCAGCATGTTTGAGTAGAATTGCGCAAGCCATTTTTTGGCTTCCTCCCCACTGAAGAAGGAACTCCGGGTGTACCCCATCGGGGCCAGGTGCCTTTCCGCGTTTTACGCTCCTTAATGCTTCTGTGACTTCGAGGGCCGTAAAACTGGAGGAGTACTGATCATTTGGTCCGATCTTCGATTTTAGAGCACTAAGTTCATGTCGTATCT